GCGTCTGGGTCCACTGGCCCTGTGCTGTGTGCTTGTGTTGGAGGGTCCATGGGCTCATCCAGGGCCTGCTCCGAGGAGGTGGAACTGGTATCTTACTCTTGGCATGCCGCTACCTTGCGGACCACCGGGCATTGCAGCATGGTGCTCATGTCCTGTGAGTCGGTACCTGTAGGTCCTTGTGTTTTCTTAGACTCCAGCCCATGCGGTCGGCAGTGCGGTGAGGACTCTCTCCAATCACCTGGGAGGTGTTGTGAGCCTCCGGACAGCTTGTCAGGTGCGAGAGTACGGCCTGCCCTAGCGAGGGAGCGAGGTAGGCCCCAGACCTGCGGCGCACTTCCCTGCCTGTTTGCGTGGATTAAAAAGGGCATCTGCCAGCAACTCCTGGCACCGGGAGGAGAAGGCAAGTGAGATGTTCGTCGATTGCGTGCTGGAATCGTGGATTTAGATAGATTTTAATCATTTAGTTCAGGAGCTCAGGGAAATGGCATCTGGTCGGCTCAGATGTTAGGCTCCTCCCCCCTCCCTTGTTCAGATTTTTTTTTTTTTTTTTTTTAATGAGCCATATTATTACAATTGTTGTTTACCAGGTACCATTTAACCTTGATCCTTCTCAGAGACTATATTCCATGTTTGTCTTCCACATTGTTCTCTGATCTAAACTTGCTGATATTAATGAACTTTGGCTTCACACTCTCACAATGTCCTATTTTAAGCCTCCCGTAGGCGAGAAGATTATTGGAAATATTAGTCAGCAGAATAATGCTAGATATTGGTTAACCTCTCGGTTGCCAGGTGAAAAATAAACTTTTCTTATTTAAAGACCAAGGCTATATACACATACATATATATATAGTTAATACAATGTTAAAATTCTGCACACACCAGTCAAGCCATAAGACTTGCTTTTCCCACAGAAATCCCAAAACTGCAACGATGTTACAACCGCAAAGGATTCTGGGTGGGCATATGCAAATTAATTTATCACATTTTTGCCCCATTCCTTTTTAAACATGGATTCCTTTTAATCTGTGTTTGCAGTATACAACAGCTTGAAACACAATATCACAATTTTTCCCCACCATAACCTATTTGGATTTTGCTTCCCAAGCACTACCAAACCTCAACAAACAAACCAGTAACCAACCTCTTGCTGACGCATTAAAAGGAACACTATAGTGCCAGGAAACCACTCGTTTTCCTGGCACTATAGTGCCCTGAGGGTGTCTCCACCCTCAGGGTCCCATTCCCGTGGCGCTGAGGGTGGAGGAAGGGGTTAATCCCTTAAATTTTTTCCAGCGCCGGGCTCCCTCGGCGCTGGGACTCTCGTCCCTCTTCTTCCGTCACTGGCTGAATGCGCATGCGCGTCACATTCAGCCAGTCTCATAGGAGAGCATTATCAATGCTTTCCTATGGATGCTGGCGGAAGCGCCTCTAGCAGCTGTCTAAAGTAAACATGGCAGTTTCTCTGAAACTGTTATGTTTACTGTAAAAAGGGTTAAACCTAGTTGGACCTGGCACCCAGATTACTTCATTAAGCTGAAGTGGTCTGGGTGCCTATAGTGGTCATTTATCAACGAAACAGCTGTCCATGAGTGGTTCACTAATTTTGCATCTTTTCCTATATTGAGTTTCAAGCTGTTGTATACAGCAAACACAGATTAAAAGGAATCCATGTTTAAAATGGAATGAGGCAAAAATGTGATTCTTTGTTAAACTAATTTGCATATGCCCATCCAGAATCCTTTGCGGTTGTAACATCGCTGCAGTTTTGGGATTTCTGTGGGAAAAGCAAGTCTTACGGCTTGACTGGTGTGCAGATTTGTGTTTAACATTGTATAAACCATCTACAGACTTCAGGTGGAAGGGGTTTTCAATCACAATTTTTCCCCACCATAACCTATTTGGATTTTGAGATACACACACACACACACACACACACACAATACAAATCCCTACATGCAAATTCTGTGCATTTTGCAAAAGATATGGAAAGCATAATATGCACTGTGTCTTTTGTTTGGTTACAATATACCTGCAGATGGTATTTTGCATATTGAAATGTAACCTCAGCTGCACAGTCCAGCTATTCTCTGAACAATTAAGCACCTCTAGTGGTTATTTGAGTGACTGCCGCTAGAGGTGTTACTAGGTAGAAATATAAAACACTGACGTTTATCTGAAAAGGCTTCGTTTACATTGAAATGCCTGCAGGGGCAAACTATAGACACCAGAATCACTACATTAAGCTGTAGTGGCTCTGGTGATTATAGTGTCCCTTAAATCAATAGCAGCAGGTCTGCACTAAACAAAGGGTCATTCAAGGTGAACTAAACAAAAAATAGATTGTAAGAAAAAAAAAATTATATATATATTTGATGGAGCCACTGAAGTTACATCAATTGAGATTTTACCATTGTTTTGTTTGTTTTTTTCCTGAATTAGGTTTTCTAGGAAACATATGCAGTTCAGGCAGCAGTCCTCTTGCTAACTACTTGGTAACCTATAATTCTGTTTTATAGATAGAATTGGGTTCAGTCAGCTGGAAATACCATAACCTCACATCAGGTTCACTTATAAACTTAATGGAAATCACAGATCCTGAAGTTTATTCACCCAACACCAAACTACACAGAGAGCAGATTAGATTAGTAAAAAATGTATTAAGCAGATAAGTATAACTTCTGTTTGGGATTAAATAGTCACATCATACATACTCAGGAATTAATGCTGGTTGATAAATTCACAAAAAAAAAAAACACTTTTTAATTATTTTTTTTAAACTCCTGAAAGAATTTCCATTCACTTTGAATAGAATGTTGTTCTGAACTGTATGAGGTTTTTTTTTTTATTGCAATTGAAATTTGTATTAATTAATAAATGCGAGAATATGGTGCATAAGAATCTAAAACAGTAAACGGACCATAAAAATAAAGAAGTTATCAATAAAATAAAAAAAATAGGGACTTTTGCACCCCTCCCTCATCGCTATTTTTTTTTTAAATACATTATTAGCAAAATAAGAACGACATCGTATTTTTGGGCATAGTTGGCAAGGCAATGCTTTATAAGGCAATAATCAGAAATGGCCCACAAACTAATGTAGTAATAAACAACCCACTGGACTAAGCACTTTGATACATTAAGACAATACAAATAAGGTGCACTAATGGATATTTAAAAAAATAAATAAATAAATAAAAAAAGTCTGAAAAACACAGTAGAACCCATTGTGTATAAGTAAAAACCAGAAGGTGTGCAAAGTTATAAAGAATAACAGAGCGGAGTAGATACAAATCAAACAGAACTCTCTCATGCATGAAACACAGTCATAATGCTAGCGGCGAGACCTGCTTATGTAAGCAGCCTGGAAGGTCATCTATTTTTGTTGCTTTTGCTAGCAGTATGTATATATAAAATTTGGTATTAGCCATTTGCAGTTTTAAAGAACAACCTCCCTCCCCACACTTATTAAAAAAAAAAAAAAAAAAAAAAATATTATATATATATATATATATATATATATATTTTATATTTTAAATAAAAATTAAGAAACATAAAAAAAAAGCGTAAATTTTTTGTTGTTGTTTTGTTTCTATTGTAACTGCCATAGCAGTCATTCAAGGACCCTAAAGAAACATTATCTCATTATACTTTCTGGTAGTTGTAAATATACATTAAATGTATTTTACTATGATGTAAATTAAAACTGATAATGTGGACGATGGGTTTGTATCAGTGAATTACAACATACTGAAAACACAACTGCAAAGTTCAGGCTCAAAGAACCAAAAACTGTGAATACAGCGGAGTTAGTGGATATGTCCAATATATTTAGTTTGGTCTAAATTGGTCAATTCACAAAAATTCAATGTTTAGTGAATAAGCCAGCAAGTCCTGGTAGTTAAAGGATGGAGGAGACATGTTCTGTCATGACTAATAAATATAAGACTATGCTAAAAGTGTGAGGAAGATAAACAGGTTTAATTACTGCACGTGACTAGACTTACACACTAATTAAGTATTAATACTGCCTTAAACAAACAGATACTTGACTCACATTTATACAAGACAGGCACATCCTCCTCAATACAGAAATATTAGGAATTTTACCATGGAACAGATATCATCATCATCATGATTGTTATTTGCCTTAAGTTCATGGTTCTAATGCAATTCACACATACTATTAGATATTAATGTAAAAAACACAACAATTATTCTACAGATAATCTAATAATAAATTACCAGACCCATATATTTTCATAGGTAAACAGTAACTGTTAACAATATATTTCTCACTCAACCCTAGGTGAACTTCCGCAATAATAAACAGTGGTGATTGGATTCTTAAATGTTCATTTAGATAAGCATTTCACTGTAAACATGAGTGTTCTGGTCTGTACAGATAAACTTAGTAAATAGAGTCAGATTTCTCTACATGGTATAGAAGTAAGAAAATAGATGCATGCAGAATACATGTACAGACTAACTCCTTGGAAGATGTGAGCAACCGGTGAATTCACTCAGTGATGTAACAGTATATATGTGTGCTCCCTATACACGCTATAGGTGAATTCACTCAGTATCAACAGTAAATGTGTGCTCCCTATACATGCTATAGGTGAATTCACTCAGTGATATAACCGTATAGATGTGTGCTCCCTATACATGCTATAGGTGTATTAATTCAGTGATATAACAGTATAGATGTGTGCTCCCTATACATGCTATAGGTGTATTAATTCAGTGATATAATAGTATAGATGTGCTCCCTATACATGCTTATAGGATAAGTCACTCAGTTATAATAACATGCATGCTATAGGATGTCACGTCGTAATATAACAGTACATGTATTCTCCCTATACATGCTATAGGTGAATTCACAAGGTAATAACATGCATGCTATAGGATGTCACGTCGTAATATAACAGTACATGTATTCTCCCTATACATGCTATAGGTGAACTCACTCAGTAATAACATACATGCTATAGGATGTCACTTTGTAATATAACAGTACGTGTATTCTCACGTAGATTGCTATTGATAACTCACCCAGGCAAGCTCCACTGACCAGGGCAGTAGCAGTGAGGGCTCCAGCAGACGCTCCATAGATGTTCTTAGCATTCTCTACCAGGAAAGGCGCATGTTCCTTCAGGCAGCTGGCCACTCCAATGTGATAGATCCCCAGGAAGCCACAGCCAGCAAAGGAAATGTTCCAGGAAGAGTCAGGGGGAAACATGACTGAGGGACAATCTCCCTCTTCTAGTAAAATCCTGGGATTAATCTGTATGGAAGAGAGCCGGCAATATATAAGCAAACACGGCACATTAGTCACAGAAATCCCATCTTCCCTCAGCTACTGCTGGACTGCTACTCCAATTACCCTCAGCCAGATCAGTCAGGGAGTGATTAGCTAGTTCAACAGGGGTGTTAAAAACACATCTACATACTCTTCTCCACCAATTATCCTAAATAAGAAACTCCCACTCACCCTCAAATCATACTACATTATTAGCCCTATGAGTGTTAGAAGCCATTATACTCCTTCAAAATCCCCAATTACTCACAAGCAGTCCTCTTGCCCTGCCTGGGTTAAACACATTGAATACTAGGAGATTGGAAGAAGAGAATCACACAGTCAGTCACCTTAATTCCTCACTGCATCTACCAGTCCCTATGGTAACCATCAATCCAGTCTAATGGTACCCCAATTTCCTATTCTTCCAGACCCCCTATTATTCCCTACACATGCTCACACAATGCCTTGTTACAGTATTGTCACTGATACATTGTAACTAACACAAGTGGATCCACACCTCCTGTATACCTGGATCTATGAGATCTGTTTTCAAGACTTATTGTTCCTCTCGGTGCCTCCTTTCTTCCCTTGGAGCTGGTGCTGTCTGTGTCTCTCTGTGCCCTGCTGTCTCTGTGTACACTTATTTTCTGACCAATTCCTGGTATTTTATTATGGGTGGCTCAGCATTCTGTCCTGGAACGTCACGTTGCCTGTCGACCAATCCCTGCTGCCCTGCTTGCTGAGCTACACGAAGTGGAAGCAAGCCAGGAACCAACCACCGCCTGCTTTAGAGATACACCCTCAGATAGTGGAGGGAGGGGAGGAGGGAGATCATTTGACAGCCCTTTCTTAGCTCCATGCTTCCCTTGAAATCTCTCATTGGATTTACTCTGTATGAAGAGGACTTGTAACTTTTGTCCTATATAAACACTTCACTTCAAATCCCTGCATTGTAAAATAGATTAGAATCCAGAGCAAAACATGTGGTTTTGCTTTGTTTTGACTCTCTGTACATACATATAATAAGAAGTTAACATTATTCACTATTATTGAATACAAAAGTATCAAGTTGTTTTATTCAACATTCTAGTAATGCTAAATCTCCCCACTTCATCAGTCCAGAACAGATTGAAACAGCAATTTACAGGACACACAGCAGTCAGTGCTAATATCACATGCCATCTGGGAATTTTCTAGAACATCTGGTTAGAATAACTATATACACTGCTGGGTAAGGTTACACTGCATCAGTAGAGTGAGGAGGTGGGGTATTGGATGTGTACCATGTGGTGTGTACTATAACTGCTGTGATTTTCAGACCCATAGTTAGGGTTGCCACCTTGCTTGGAAAAATAATGGCCATGCTAATTTTCATAATTAAATATCAATGTATGAAAGATAGAGCGTCATAAGAGGGGGAAATTATATATACAGTGGGACCTCGGTTTACCATAATGCATTGAAAACCAATTAATCCGTTCTGGAGGTCAGAAAAAAGTCAAAATGAGCTGGCATGGAAACTAACCCACAATGCAGAACACACAATAAAAGGCATGCAAACGACAAAGCTAAGCTCCCTACCTTTCCACAGCTTGAGAAATGCACCAAAAAGTCCCAAAACAACTGCAAATAATTACCAGAATGGCTCCAACACCTCCACATTCGACGCCACGTGCTACCCACAGACACCAGCATATACGGGGGCGGTGCTATAACCTCCCAGGTGCAATGCATCCAAGGGAAACTTGCTTTGTATTGCGAAAAAAAATTGTAAACCAAGGCATTATTTTCAATGGATTTTCATTTGTAAACCGAAAATTATGTTAACAGAGGCGTTTGTAAATCGAGGTCCCACTGTATATTATAAATCGGACTATTTACAGGGTTTATAATGCACATTTAAAGGGACGGTGTGTAGGAACTGTAAATTGTCAAACAATTTAACATCGAATGAAGCAGTCTGGGTTTTCCATAGTACTGGAGGTGTGGCTAAAGCAGAGATTTCGCTCATAACACTTCAAACCTGTTTTGGTACTGTGATAGGCTGAATGTGATGAGCTTGACTCTGTCAGCCAATCACAGCTGCTCATTCCTGCTCAGTCTGATGCTTCCTCATTAGCCAAAGCAGCACTGATAGACTGCTAGGCACATCTGTTTCGTTAAAAAAAAAAAAAAGTTAAAGGGAGACTATACTCACCAAAACAACCTTAGCTTAATGAAGCAGTTTTGGTATACAGATTATTCCCCTACTGTCTCATTGCTCAGTTCTCTGTCATTTAGGAGTTAAATCACTTTGTTTATGCAGCCCGAGTCACACCTCCTTGCATGTAACTTACACAGTCTTCTTAAATACTTCCTGTAAAGAGTCATCTAATGTTTAAATTTCCTTTATTGCAAATTCTGTGTAATTTAGAATTTATCTCCCGCTCTGTTAGAAGCTTGCCAGACCCTGCAGGATCCTCATATATGTAATTAAAGTCCAACTAATTGAACAAGAGATACAAACCTTTAAAGTATGCTAGAGCTGATTGAAAATTAAACCATTTGTTTTCATGCAGACTGTGCATACCTACCTAACAACATTTCAAATGGACAGCGAGACACTTTAAAGGACCACTATAGTGCCAGGAAAACATACTCATTTTCCTGTCACTATAGTGCCCTGAGGGTGCCCCCACCCTCAGGGTCAACCCTCCCGCCCGGCTCTGGAAAGGGGAAAGTGGTTAAAACTTACCTTTTTCCAGCGCTGGGCGGGGAGCTCTCTGCCTCCTCTCCTCCTCCATTCCTCCTCCTGGGCTGAATGCGCGCGCATTCAGCCCGTCGCATAAGAAAGCATTTACAATGCTTTCCTATGGACGCTTGCGTGCTCTCACTGTGAAAATCACAGTGAGAAGCACGCAAGCGCCTCTAGTGGCTGTCAATGAGACAGCCACTAGAGGATTAGGGGGAAGGCTTAACCCATTCATAAACATGTTGTTTATGTTTATATGTTTATAAAAAAAATGGGTTAACCCTAGAAGGACCTGGCACCCAGACCACTTCATTAAGCTGAAGTGGTCTGGGTGCCTAGAGTGGTCCTTTAATTTAGGGGTGTGAGAGAGGGTGGGGCTGTTTTGAGAAAATAATTTATGCAAATAAAATGTGATTTAGTGCAAGAGCAACATGTCTTATTACAGAGATTGATGTCTAAACACATTTATTGTAGTTTAAAGACACATTACTATGTGTTTATTGCTGTGGAGCTCTGTTACACACTCAGACAAATCAACAATATGGAGCTCCTAGAAAAGAAGGACATTAGGATAGAAATAAAGGGACAGATAAAGATGGATTTTGGTCCATAACAGGCACTCTCCCTCCTAAATAGGGACACCTGGGAGTTGTGTGTATACACCTGTGCAGCCTTGAGATTAGAAGCCCTAGTTTGCACCATGTCAGTAATACAGTCCAATGTTTTTTTAATGCATGGATTGATGACAACACCATATTTGCAATAAAGTATTTTGAAACATGATTAAGCCTTTTTAAAAATGGGTAGGTCATGTAACATGTAGAATTCGTAACTATGAATTATGTAGTATGGCAAAATAATAAATCAGGGGGTTTGGAGATATAACAAATCACATATCACGAATACTGTTCTTATATCCGTATGCACGCTCCCGACACAATAGCGCAACGATAACAAGATAGCGCCCAGGGGCGACCATCACGACCATTCACATTGTTGTTAACTGATCCGCTAGAACGGTACTACCCCTCTGGATGCCAGACACCACCACTATTAGGCAGCAGGAGACGGATGCTGACAGACAGTGATACGTCACTAGACGACAAAGTAGGTGACCTACCTAACCACCGACGCCACCTGCCCCACGGGTTCACTGCCAAGAGACTGTGAGGTGACTACGAGGACCTTGGTCCCCGGACACACACCTACCAGTGGCACATTACCCCTTACAACAGTCGCCTCTGCGACTCGACACAACCGCTACACACCACACCGCTTGAACTACCCCCTCAAACCCACCCAACCTCCCCTTCCATCTCCCCCCCCCTTCTCCTCCCCTACTCCACACCCCGCCACCCGGATACGATGGGCCCACCGCCTCTCGCCCCCCACGCCCCCGGGCACGCGGAGATAGGAATTAACCTCTACACAATCAACGCGAAGGGCCTGAACTCCCCACAAAAACGAGCAAGAGCGCTGCGAGAAATTCGAGCACTTAAGATATCAATAGCTTTCTTCCAAGAAACACACTTTCTAGCAACAAAAGCCCCCAAATTCTCAGATAAATACTTCCCAACCGGCTACTACGCGCATAACCCCTCCACCAAATCCAAGGGAGTGGCTATATTATTCTCGGCAGACACCCAGTTCCGCCTGGAAGCAGAAGAGAAAGACCGAGACGGCAGATACCTCTTTCTCAAAGGACACATAGGGGACGCTCAAATCACACTCGCGAACCTCTACCTCCCAAACAAAGGCCAAAAATCATTCCTAGCCTCAGCCCTGAGAAAATTGGAGGCGTTCAGTGCAGGAACCGTAATAATAGGAGGGGACCTCAACGCCCCTCTAGACCCCAAGATGGACACATCTAAAGGGAGCTCCACGATCCCGGACCACGTCCTCAGAGGACTGCGGACCCTTTTGACAACTCACCAACTTGTAGACTGCTGGCGAATCCTACACCATACAGAGAAAGACTACACCTATTATTCAGCGCCACATAAATCCTACTCAAGGATTGACTACTTCTTCATCCAACACAGGGATCTAGACACACTGTGCTCAGCCCACATCGCCCCCATGACCTGGTCGGACCACGCACCAGTAACATTCACCATCGACAATCCTAAAACCTTCCGATCCCAATGGACATGGAAACTTAATGAATCACTCTTAGAGGACCCACTGATCCAAACAGAAATTAGGAACACACTAGACCACTTCTTCCCCACCAATCAAACAACAGAAAGCGCACCAACGACCGTCTGGGAAGCACACAAATGCACTATCCGAGGGATCCTCATCAAACACGGCACTCGCCTGAAAAAAACAACGCACACAGGAAATAGCACGCCTTGCTGCCCAACTGGCGCGTCTAGAAACGCTTCACAAACAAGACCTCCGAGACGAAACCTACAAACAACTCCTAGAGACCAGAGCGAAACTCAACTCCTGCCTCACGTCCAAAATACGATTCCAGTTCCAACTCACACAAAAAACGTTCTATGAATACGGAAACAAAAGTGGTAAACTGCTCGCTAGGGCGCTGAGAGCCCGGAGACAGAAAACCCATGTTCAAAAGATCTCCCTGGCAGGAAACACACTGCGGACCCCGAAGGCTGTAGCAGAGGGCTTCAGACAATACTACTCCTCCCTATACTGCCTACCTCCCAACACCACACGCACACACGAAGGAGAAGAGGCTCACACAGCACGGCAAAAAACATATATCGAACAGAATATCACTACAACGCTGACACCCCAAGATATAGCTACACTAGAAGAAGATATCACTGAAGCGGAGATACGCCTAGCCATCAAACTGGCCAAACTGGGGAAAAGCCCCGGACCAGATGGATACACAGCAAAGTACTACAAAATGTTCGCAGACAACCTTGTCCCACACCTACTTACACTATTCAACTCAATACATAACGGAGACCCCTTAGACCCCAACATGCTCC